AAAGCTGTCACGGCAGGAAAGTTCCTCGCCACCGGCACCAGGAGCCCAGATCCTTTTGTTGTGGGGCTGATTTTTTTGAGGTCGCTGTCCTGCACCTCCATCAACTCCATTTCCGGCACCTCCAGGCTGACCTCCTGCTCTCCGGGGTTAGAAAGGCTGCGCATACGAAACGAGCCGCCCCGGCACAGCAAGTAATGTGCTAGCCCCTGGAACATTATGCCTCTAAGTGAGGCCAAATCTGGTCTGCCAGCGGACCACTTAACGAATTTGGCCAACTCAGCAGTACCCTGCCGATGCAACTCCTGCATCACACGCTGGCCGATCATCCCGGAGCCAAAGACTAGGCGTTTCCTGCTGCAGTTCTCATCCACCTGCATGTCATTGCAACAACCCACAACATGAGAAAGGCTTGTCAGATGGTGTGCAGAACCCATGCCATTGCCACACTCTGTGCGCATCCCTGATTTTAAAAATGGCACTGATTTCCAGTGATTCTTCCACCGGATTTTCCCCTGTGGGCCTTTAGATATGCACATCCACCCAATATTGCCTGCCCAGTGCAAAGTCACCAGTCACAACACATGGGGCATCTGCTGTAAGAGGGATCAGCTCCCCTGGCATCTCCCAACTGAGTACTCTTTGCCTGGTGTTACATTGGTGCGAATTGCTAGGAGGTGGGAACTCCCCGGATCGAATTTGGTTGCGAGCAGATCGCACACCAGGCATGATGCAGCATACTCTCACCCCAAAGGTGGATGCCCAGGTGGGCGGGAAGTCTACTAGCCGAGTAAAAAAAAAGTCCTCAATCTCGGATGGGGACTGACGAAATGTCACAATAACAAACTAATACACAACCCTACGGGATCTCAAACAACCTAAATCCTACGGGATATGCCCAGGGGTGCCCGAGGACGTTTCCTCAAGGGGGGGAGGAATGTAAGAGGGATCAGCTCCCCTGGCATCTCCCAGTTGGGAGTACTCTCTGCCTGGAGCCACATCTGCTAATGGTCAAATAGAGAAGACCTCACACCTACCTCGACGTGGATCAGTTTGTGGCTGACATCCGGTGCAGCCTCAATGTTGCCTACGGATTTCCACAAGAGATCCATATTAACGGTTGCCACCGCTGCATCAAGCTCCTCCTGCAGTTCGGGGTTGGCTGCGTACTTCAGGACGTAACGTGGGATGCCGCCCCACCGAGCATACAGCTCTGACAGTTTAGCTTTGCTGACCGAAGAGAACATGATGCCACGTGCTGCCTCCAGCTCCACATAGGACCAGGGGCCCATCCATAACCTCAGGCCAGCTTGCTTGGCATATTCCTACAGGACACATCATTAGCATGCAGGCAACCCTAAGGCACTGATTGGGGCAGTAACCCATGGGTTACCCATTTTCAACCCCCGGTAGCCCTTTGGTAACCCCCTTGTAAGTTCCTACCCAGCAGGAGGGGTAACATGACCCCAGGGTAAACCCCTCCGTTGCCCTGGATTGTGGACATATGTATGGGCCTATAGGCTACTCGTCTTATATGCATCCCACACCGTAAATTCCGCGGATGGATACTTTTTAAAATGTAAACGTTAGCAACCTACAGTATTGTGGTATCTTGGGAAGCATTGTTTGCCAGTTCAACCTTAAGGTCTCTAATGCTGGCATCACACACGCAAGGAATAAGCAATAAATACCTATCTCATGGCCTATTTGGCTGCTGTAAAACAGGAGCTTGTAGATGAGTACAGGAGAAGGCGTGAATGCTGGCAGCATATACACAAGTCGACGACAGGTCTTCACTAAATGGATGCCTTTGGTTGTCATCGATTGTTATATAATAGTTTGCATTGTGAAAACAACAGGCAATCAGTCCTGAGGTCGGCCAACATATTACCGGGCCGGGGATGGTCGTACACATATGTGCATGCTGCTTTTGCCTCCACTGATACTCCTAACGAGCACATCCAAGCTTAATCACAGCTAATTTGCTTGTAAGCTCATGTAATGCACACTCATGGCTGGTATTTTAACTAGACGGACATGCTAAAAAACGCGATGACCACTATCACCAATTCAGACAATCATATTCACTGCCAGCAGTGTTCCTATTGACCATACATACTTTGCACGCTTATAATCCACGTTGCAATACTGGTGCGTATGGCGGCAAAAATGGTGGTGTTCTATCGTTCGCACGTGCAGACCACCACGACAAGACCGTTGACTCTTTCTGCAGCACAGGCCCACACTTGTGGTGCACCTCATTTAACAAGACATCCAGTGACATCCGAGGATTTTTACCCGGAAGGGCGCCTTACACTTCGCCGGGTGTGACCGTGTTCGGGGTCAAACATCCGGATCTCCCACCCACGCAACCCCTCGACACTCTTAGGAGAATCTGCTCTGAAAACGAGCAGACTCTGGATAGTGTTGCATAGGTCGTGTGTAGAGCTGGAATTAGCAGGTCGAGACGGAGCACTTAAGCTACTGGCCGACCTTACATTGCAGCCCGTTGGCTGCTCTGCAAGTTTTAGCAGCAGCGATAAGTGCCTGGATTTTTTGATAGGAATATTTTTAGCTTTGCTGGCGGCTTCTCGTGGTCCCCAATTTGCTCCGCCTATGTACGCCTGTTCGTCCGCCTCCTTGCATCTAGGCTGCAGCTGTGTGCCATATCCTTAGGTTTAGGTTTCTAAACAAGGCATGTTTTGGTGCAGCAATCTTGATAATTGGGCATTCACAAGTGATTGGTGAAGACATGTATGTTTGCGTGTGTAGACAGGCGCAGGTGAATGTAAACATGGGTTACCCTGTCTGTTGCCCATCAGTAGTGTATTAGCCCGACCCCTTTGTTACCCCTCGGTAAGGGGTTACCCCTACCCCGGGGTTAGGTTACCCACCT